TCAGAGCACCCAGCCACAGTAAACTTCGCGTGAAGGGCTGGCTGCGGTCGGGCAGACGAGGCGAAGACAGCTTCCGCATGCAGGGGAAGCGCGGGGCTAGAATCGGTCGTAGCGGCTGGCCCCGCCGCGGCAGTACGACCATCTAGTTTTCCGTCTGACTGAGTGCTGGGGCACGCCGGCCGCGGCGGAGGGCTCGAGAAGCCCCACGCTCCGCATGCATTACAGCCGGGCTTGGCGGGTCTTCTCGGGACCTGTCCAGCGGGAGTGGCGAGCTGGGGCGGCGCGCGCGACCTGGGGCTGAGGGGACAGGCCCATCGTCGTGAGAGGTGCGGCAGTCACGCGCAAAGTGGCCAGAGGCGCCGCACGTGAAACACAGGTCATTGGCACGCCGGCACTCGTCCGCGGTGTGACCGCGGCGGCGGCAGAAATCGCAGCGCAGAGGGTTCCTTTGACGGTCGCGGGTTGGCGAGTGTGCCGGCTGCACGGCAGTTGGTGCGCGGTGTCCGCGGGCTGACGCACCACGTGACTTAAATGCACCGCGCGGGACGCTGACGGAACGATGAGAGCAGTCCGAGTCGCTGTCTGACTCGTCAGCGGACAAACGGAGGTCGTGGTGCGCAGGACGTGACCGTGGTGACGTTGTCCGGGGGCGGGAGCGTTTGCACGACCGGCGCGCGGCCGTTGACTGACTGCCGTGCTCCGCTGAAGCACGTGCATATAACGAGTCGTGTGTGCCATCAGCCTCCGACTCGAATCGTTCACATTCCAGGTATGACACCAACCCATCCCACCTGAGCGTGGTATCATGATTAATCAGCGCATAACGCAGCTGCCGGCGGAGAAAATCAGCGGCACACGTGGGCAGCGTTGACAGCAGTTTACGTCGGAGATCACTGCTCACCTGTTTGTCCGCCTCAGGGTACGCATCTTCGAACAGCGCAGCCAGCCGGAACGCATACACTGCCAGAGATTCTCCCGGCCGGCGCGCGGCGTCCCGATATGCGTCCGTCGCAGTCGTCTCCTCGTAGCCGCGCTGACGAGCGGCCCACTCCAACATTCGGCGCTTGATCACTGGGTACGGGCTGCGGGGTCCGTTAGCATCGAATATTTCCAGAACGCGGCCCGACAGCTTTGAACGGAGCAGCGGCAGCGCGTCTTCCATTGTACCGCGGTATTCAGACGTACAGTACCTTTCAAACCGGGCGAAGAATTCATCCATGGGCTCTGCTGGGCCTTCACGAAACGGGAGCAGGTCGTGAGAGCGAGTCGGATGACTCTGGACCGTCTCACGACTCACTGGAGGCCCGACGGGGGCGAGGGCATCGTTTGTACCGGCGCCATTGTCGCCCGCCGGAGCCGCCCTGACAGATACGGCCTGCTGTAGCGCTGTTATCTGCCTGTCTTGATTTTGCATATGCTGCCGCATTTCTTCCATGAATGCGAGCAAAGCTGTCGGTTTCGCCTCCGTGATGGCGTCAGCTGGCGGCTGTGGTGAATCACTAGCCGGCGCGGGGTCAGAGGCCGACATGGCGTCGGAAAATTACAAAGTTACGTTAAAAAAAAAGAATACTAACGGCACGGTACTGAGTCTCGCTGGACTAGGGACGCAGCGGACGAGCCCCCAATGTTACCGGTCGCGAGTACTTTCCGGTTTCCAGCTCGAGAGTCTCGATTAACGGCAAAAACTATATTGCCAATCACACGGCGACGACATCCCCCCGCGGGTTCCCAAGCTCGACTGCCTTCCCGCCGCGTCTCTCGCCGCGCCGCGTCGCGCGGCGTCGCCATGGCAACGGACAGAGGAGATGCAAATTCCGACACACATACCCACGGACGCACGGCGGAGGGCGGCTTGGCGACAAAGAACTAAACATGTTTACTCTGTTACAACCTCTCTGAGTTCGCTTAGAAAGAGTGAGGGTCGGCCCGTCAGACGCGTTTTGCTGATCAGTTTCTCAAACATCTCTGGCTTTGTCTTTTCGTACATGTCAGTGACGGCTGTCTGTAGCTCAGAGAAATTTTTGTTGCTCAAGACAGCACGCGGAATGTGCGAGATGGTTTCCGGAGGCAGGGCAGAGAGAACGTGGTAGAATTTGGTCTGCGAGTTGGTGATTTTGGCAATGTTAAATTGGGCGTCCATAATAGCAAACCAGCCGTCAACCGCGGTGTCCATAAAAACCGGCGGCTTGATCGACACATGATGGACTGGCTCAGCATGAGCGGGCTCCATCGTGCCGTCGTTCGTCATGATCGTTAAAGTATAGCCGGTGTTTGCAATGCACTGAACAATTAAAATTTAAAACACCGAGTGCAAAATCCGAAAGAGCCAATGGAACGCCGAAATAAAATCACCGGAAGATAAATGCCTAACTAATCACACGGCGGAGAGATGGCACAGAAACCATCATGGAAAAGTGGCGCAGAAGCCACTGTGGAGCGACGGAATAGCAATCCATGTGGGGGAATAATATAAAATAATTGATTCGGGAATGAGCGGAGGCGACAACCCGGAAGTATGGAGAAATCGAACAAGAATCACGTCGGGGTCACCAATATGTGGTGCTGTGGGGCTGTTCACCACATATCAGTGACTGGATTTTACGTTAATCAGAAATGGAAAATATCAACCTGGTGCGTGTTCCAAAAATTCAAACAGTTCGATCCAAACGGCCCCAAGTAAAAGAATTAATTAAAAGAGCGGGTTGTTATATTTAAATTACCAAAACGAAGTCAAAAAAACCAAAACAGCGAATCAGACAATGGAGCGACGAAGAGACGAGAATGAAATCCAAGTTTGCCAAATATGCCCTGCCTAATCTAAGTTATAAATCCCGGACAGAACGGGCCTAATGGAGCCAGACGTGACGCGTCTGCTCGGGTCAAGAGCTCAGCCTGAAGTCCCGGGGTAGCGCGCGGCCCGACGCAGCGGGCCGGGTCCAGACATGCGCAGAAGCACTCGGACACCACGTGGCTGCCGATCGGAGCGCGGATTGGTCACTGGCCGACGCACTGCGGCAGCGCAGGCCGCAGACACGCGGTCGCATCGTGATGGGACAAAGTTCACGAACAGACACGTCCTGGGCCGCCTCCCCAGCGCCGGGGCGGGGTAGCGACGTCACAAGTCGGCGCGCGAATCGGTCTGCGCCGGGAACTCCCGTGCCGGCCGGCGACACACGTGGTTACCACAAAACAACGATTTAGAACACCGCTGGTTATAGTGCCTACTTGCCAAAGAAAATAAGAAAATAGGTGTCTCTTGGTAAACAAAATTGAGCTAGGATCATTTACGATTAGATTTTCTCTCGCAGAGCTGAGAGGATAAAAATGCGAGGTTGCGACTGGCCTGCCTTCCCGGCTGCTATCGCGTCGGCAAATGATTTTTAAGATACATTTTTTTTAGTGAGATTCTGGGTTCAATTTAAGTTTCCTAAGCTCAAAAATACATTTACGGGACGTACGATGGGATGTATTTACGAGCTCTGAGTCTGGGCACATGACTGGGGGAGGCGGGCTTTGCATGCCTATAGGCTCTACCAGCTCAGTGTCGATAGCGGGGGACAATAGCGACTGTGCCGGTAAATTGAAAACGGGGCAGCCCACGTTGCACCAGTTTCAAGTCATGACTCTACAAAAAGATAATTATTTTGCATCGGGGTCAAATGATGCATCATTTTGTGGTGCGCGTGTCAGCCGTGCGAGCGTCGTGCTGCGATACCTGCACTGTCAGCCAAGGGGATACCCATACCGCTTCCGTTCTAATCTGGAGGCGCTCGGCCGCCGCTGTTACCCGATCCATTTACCGTTCACATAATTAATCATCATTAGACCCACGTCACAAAGCTGGCCCGAATGTATGGATATTCCGTAGCTGTGACTTGAGTGAGGAGGAGCGGCGGGTATCGGCCGAGCCTGCCCTGTGGCCGGGTGTGTGACGGCCCCACCCACCGGTCCCGGCGGGCTGCTCCCACAGCGCCGGCCGCCGCGGGTCGCGGCCCGCCCGCTGCGGATCGCCGGCCGCGGCAGCAATTACAAGTGATTTCGGACTCGGCTGTTCCCGGAATTGCATGATAGACTGCTCGGCCACACGTGGACTCTGGACATGGGCGTTGGGCACTCCCAGTTACTCTCGCAGCTTAAACACCGGGCTCTGACACCTTACAAATGGGGCGTGCGATAATTTGTATGGTTTTCGCTGGGTCGGACGGACGTTTAATCCCGTTGTGCGTTGGGGCTGGTTAGTTTCATACCTTTGTAATAATCAATCTGAACCTTGATATGACAGGAGCTTTGCGCCCTGGTAGATATACACAACACAGCCACCCCATTCTGGTTCACGTATTTTGAGTGCTTTCACACAGCGGCTATTTTGCAGTTCAACGATAACATTGTGGAACGAGGAGCTAAAGGGAGTTAAACTACGTCCACTAAATTTCGCCAGCCGTGGGAGAGTCGATTCACAAAGTGTCGTCAGTGCTGTTGGCTCATTGCAGCACCCCGGCCCAGTTCCCTTATACGGATTGACACATTGCTGGCGCGCTGTTAAGAAAATAAGCCACGAATAAGAAATATTAACTAGATGCATGCCTCAGCAATAAATGTGGATGTTTACATGCACATACAGTTTATTCACATTCGATGACATCAGAAAAGCGAATACACGCACAATTTCGCCTCAGATTGAATCGAAACATACTCGGCCTTACCTGCCACCACGAGCTGAAGAACCGGAACGCCCCGGGACGACACGCAGGCTGGGACGACAAATGCTGAGGTTCAGCTAAGTTCAGCTGGCTGTAAGCTGTAAGCTCAGCTATACGGAGGGCAGGCGAGCTCGACTCAGTGTGTGGGGGAGGGGGGAGGGGGAGGCAGATCTACATACTGCGGACTGGGTAGCTCGGCTCTGTGTGTGTGTGTAGGTGGGGGGGGGAGGGGGGGGTCCGCTCTATACGGCGGACTGGGCAGCGCGGCTCCATCTGGGTGTGTGTGGCGGGAGTGCAGCTCTACTGCGGCCCGTAGCTGAAGACGGCCAGGCTGCCGGCGGTGTGGCCGGCCGCCAGTAGCTCGGTGAAGCCGTCGCCGTCCAGGTCGGCGGCGGCCACCTGCCCGGCCGTGCCGCCGGGACTGGCCAGCGTCAGCCGCTCGTAGCGCCAGTCGGCGCCGTCCGCGCTGGCCGGCTGCAGCACGTAGTGGCTGCCGTCGCCGTTCCCAGACAGCAGGATGAGCGGCTTCTCGCCGGCGGCGCGCGCCGCCCGGCTCGGGTGGAAGGCGACCGCCTCGCCGGGACTGACGCACTCGCCGACCGCGGCCTCGGCGGCGCGGAAGCCGTCCGCGATCGTGACGCGGCGCCAGTCGCCGGCGGCAAAGTCCTCCGGCACGGTCCACGCGTACACGGCGCCCGAGTCGGCCGCGTGGTCGTAGGCGGTGGCCCACACCTCGGGCGCGCCGTCGCCGTTCAGGTCGCTGTAGAACACGTCGAAGATGCTGCCGGTGGTGTTGTCGACGACGCGGGAGCGGACGCTGGCGAGGTCCGTCCAGTCGCCCGTCTCGCTCCAGTAGAGCGCCAGCCGCTCGTTCCACATCTCTCCGGCTACCACGACGTCGTAGGGGACGCCGGCAGAGGTAAGGCGCGCCACGCGGAACCCGGCGTCCGGGCCGCCCTCCACCACGTCCTTCTGCCGCCAGATGCCGTCCACCGGCGTACCCTCGTTGATCATGAAGGCGAGGCTCTTGAGGGGTGTGTGCGCCAGCTCCTTTTTGTTGAATCTGGCGGCGAGTAGGTCGAGATCGCCGTCGGCGTCCATGTCATGCCAGACGGCGCGCCGGTACGCCCAGTCGTGCACGTCCAGCATGCTGAGCAGGTAGGGCCCACTCGGCGGGGACGTCTCCGTGTTGAAGACCTGCAGCTTGCCGTGCGTGTGGAAGGTGCCCAGGTAGCCGGAGGTGACGATGACGCCCTCGAAGCCGACCGCCTGCGACGCCATGTAGTCGATGTCGTTGGTCCAGTAGGCGTTGTGGTCGAGCAGCTGCAGCTGCCAGTCGCTGACGGCGTCCAGCTGCCGGCCCGGCGCCGGCACCCGGTACACCTTGTCCGTGCCCAGGATGTTCTCCGGGTTGAAGCTGCTGACGTACAGGGTGGTCCGCTCGACGGCGTCGCCTGCGCCGACCGCGGCCGTGAACACCTCCACGAAGGAAGCGTTGGCAACGGCGACCTCGCCGAGGAGCCGCGGCAGCTCCGTCAGCCGCCGGCCGCCGGCCGCCCGGCCGGTCAGCGCGCAGGTCAGCGCGCAGCTCAGCGCGTAGGTCAGCACGGCGCGAGACATGGTGAGGTAGTGAGGCCGGTCCGCCGCTGGCGCTCCACGCCTTGGACTGCCTTATCTGGCGACCGGCTGAGCAGGCTCCCACGACCCTGTCTCACTGCCGCCGGGGTGCGGTGTGGCGTGACAGTAGTATTCCATTGAACAACTGTCACCATTACCGAAAGCTGTGGCGTTTTTCGCTATTGCTTGCATTACTGCATGCTTGCACGCTCAATTTCTGTGGCGCTGTCAAGGAACGAGACATGTCATTTCCACAGGTTCTCCGCAGGTGTAATGTGTTGGTATTCTGGTTTTACAGGCAGGTGATACGAAACATTGATACACAGTTCCTTAGTTTACAAGTGAGAGTGACCTAACCAGTTCACAGGATATTATTATTCGTATTAAAAGGCGAAGTCAGTGAGGGGACCGGCCGTGCGCGGCTATGTGCGCACGTTAAACTTGGACTATAAATTCTGCCATATGTAGAACTGGAATTGCGCGATCGGAGGGTAGAGGGAAGGGGCACCTTAACAAGCTGCGCTTAGCGGTGGCTCTGTCTTTGTGAGTCCTTCCTATCAAAAGGTTCGGACTAAATTTATAAAAAAAGATCTGCAGGTATTTGTTTATTAACCCTCGCCGGCACAGGGGGGGGGGGGGGGTTGATGCAACCCCCCCTAAGGTTTTTCGCGAATAACTCGCGTAAAAAGCGGCCGATCGCGACGAAACTTTCAGTATCCTCGCATTGATCAATTTTACACCTACCCTGAAAATTTAATGACCCTGACCCAAATGACCTTTGACCTGTGACCTCCTTTCCGAGACCATGTTTGGCCGGAATCGCGATTCGGCGTATGTCGGCTCGCATTAGCCGCGCGTTCGCAAGCTTTTCGTGGTTTTAAACGTTCAAACATGTGATTTGATGTTGCTCCCATACATTAGGGTGGGTGTCAAGGTCACCTGAAGGTCAGGTCAGGTCATTGACCTTTGGTGACCTCGGGTGACCTCGGTTCACTTTTTCGAGTTTTACATGCTTCTAGGCTAGTTTTTGGAACTGAATTCGAATTTAGCATCCATCTGAACATTTACGAAGTAGTTTTGGTGCCTTCGTAACATGTTACGAAGCTGTCAGAGGCGGTTGACACGTATTACGAATACCCGTCACCACCCCTACCGGTTGACCTGACCTGACCTGACCCGACCTGGTCTAAATGCCTCAAGACATCATCTCTGATCAAAACTAACACGATATTCGTGATCAGCACCCCGGAAAACCACTTAACAGCCACACTTTACGACTTTCTAACAGGTCCCGATTTTCCCGGTTTTCGGGTCATTGACCTGACCTGGAAGGTCACCCGATGACCTAGGACCTTAAAATTGGGTATCATCGGCTTCCTCTCGTAACGGGCAACACGCTCGTTTTTTTCGCGAAGCTCTAGCTCGATCAGGGGCCAAACGCGGGGGGGGTCTTACCCCCCTTGTGCCGTCGAAGGACGCAAAATGGCCTGTGCCGGCGAGGGTTAAGATGTTAAATGTAACTATTATTTATTTTCACCCCTCTAAAAATTGTTATTTGGAACAAATGACAGAGCAATTTCCGAGACATGCCACTACCAATATCATGCCGAATCCAAAACACTGCATTCATGGGACTCATTCCGCCACCCATGCTGGCGGAATGGGTGTATCTCTCGGCTCGAGCCCGCGAGCTCCGGTCAGCCGGAGGCCCGGAGGGCGCGCCGCTGCCCAGCAGGGCGGCTGCCACGCGTCGGGAGGCCGCATCGGCCCCCGATCGGGGCACTAAAACCGACTGGGGCCGGCGCCTCGCGCACAGCCGCGGTAATGGCCCCCGCCGGCGGGCCGGGCCGAGCGATTCCACGTGGAATTTCACGGCTGGAATGTGAGCTGTGAGGACTTCTTGCGACGATAGAGGGGGAGAGAGGGAGGGAGAGAGGGAGGGAGAGAAGGAGATGGAGAGAGGGGAGGGAGAGAGAGAGAGGGGGGGGGGAGATAGAGGCTGAGAGGGAAATGGGAAGGGAGGGAGTGAAACATTTGCGCGTAAACAGGCGATGAGGTTATTTGGAAGCATATTCACCTCAGATTACATGGTGTCGTGGTATGATATGCCTTTGGATTTATATTCTTAAATGGTAGGTATGTGCAATACAGATAAGTACTTACATAGACAACAAGTGCCTATAGGTATGCGATAACGAATGGGAAGTGGGAACTGCTTTTGAATATAGGCATATTCTTTTGAATAGGCTAACACGTATAGGTTACACGTATTTTTCGAGGAAATATCTTTTTTAAAGCCGATTAAAACGATTGAACGATTAATAACGATTGAAAATTGGCAAGAAGCTCGCAAACAAGGATAACCCAGTTTCAAAAATATCAGATCATCGCAAAATAAGGGCAAACATCGATTAGCATTTTTCAAAATATATATAATGCTAAAATTTTATGGAAAATAACGCAAAATATTTTATTATAAGGCCAATGGACCCCTCATAAAACGTCAATAACTGTTAATTTTGATCTTTGAAATTTTCAAAAAGTAAACTGAAGCGAATAGTCTTCTTTCAGAAAAAAAACTTATAGACAGGCTTGAACTGCCTATAAAGCAAAAGTTCTCCTCTTGGGGAAATACTTCACCAACCTAGCGAATGTTCATAAGGGCAATGACGAGCGTTTGGAATCTACATAGTTTGCAAAGTGTGTCTCAGAAACAGATGGGAGATATAATCTGCTATACAATACGCTACGAAAAAAATTATCCTTGAGACTTCCCATCTGTTCAGGAATGGGGTCGTTTTGAAGAGAAAAATAGTGATTGGGGTGTTGGTGCCAGTCTTCGTGATTGAAATGGCGCCAGAGAATACCTACAAAATACTCATGGATGGTGTCGATGCAAGCTGTCAGCTCTCAGTGAGAAACAGTTGCTGCCTGGAAGCTCGTTAAGTCGGACGCAGAAACTGCAAGAGATTCCCCTGCAAGAGCTTAAAAGCAGGAAACCTTCTATCAGCATTCGGCAGCTATTGGAGCGATGCAAATCTGTATGGGCACATATCTTTGGAGCTGCAGACAGGATTTGGTATCAAGCATTCCTATTAGTTGTCAAAGCATGCATCTTTGTCAAGTTTACACATAGACATCAAAACCTTAGATTTTCGGCTGGTTCTTATATGTTTTATTGGCGTTGGAAATGTGTGAACGAGCTTTTGAGACACCCTGTACGAGTATGTTATTAGTCGATCGGAACTCTTGAAAAGGGACGCGCCATGCTCCACTCCCTCGATTGCGTCTACCCCAAGTGTGGCAACAAAAAGCAAGCGTTTGTTTTGGGGCAAATGCAAACTTTTGCATCTTGCATTGCCAAACGAGATGGAAAATGTACTTACCTATACCAAGAATAACCCAATCTAAGGTGCGGAGCCTCGCGCGTCTTGGTGTCACGATTTCCAAATGACCATCAACTTACTCGAAGTACCTATTCGAGTTATTATCGGGTTTTGTCGAGAAAACAAAATAATACCTACCACGCAGTTTGACGAGGGCTGTACAGTGACGAGGCCAGTCTCGAAAGTACCGCGCAGCGGCGCAATGGATCCATCAAGCCCGACTGAGGAAGGGCTGCTTATTTTGAGAGTCACCGAGGCCCGAGCCCATTGACCTGGGGATGGATGAGGATGTCAAATGGTTCAGTGACGCTCAAATTTAGTAGCCCTTCCTCGATCGGGAATGGGATTGATCGATCCACCGCGTCGATGTGCGGTACTTTCACGACTGACTACAGTGTACAATAGTGGGGTATTGTATTGTATTGTATTGTATTGTATTTACGATTGTAGGCGATCCACACATGGCGTAGCGATTACGGAACAGCACTAATCCTCGGCTGTGCCGGCTAGTACCTGTTTTACGGGGGCATGCAGTTGGGTATTTGTTGGGAGAACTGACATGTGCTGCCGCTGACAGAGTGAGACGTGTGTGAGATCACTGCCCTCAGACACTCGAAGAAATTATTGTCGCACACATTTTAACGATCACATCTGTTGTCCAAGTGGGCTAAGCGAGCATGGAAGGGCTGTGACTGCGTAACGTTGAGGGAGTGATAGTGACCGGTGACATCTTTAGAGAGATCAGATGACGGTGCTGAGAGGGTTCCAGTGAGTGCCGCCGTCCCGGTGCAGTGCTGGGTGGGAGTGGCGAACACTGAGCACTACTGGTAGCGTCCAGTGTGCGTCAGTGTGTGTGAGAGGACACAGTGTGTGTGTCTGGAGGACACAGTGTGTGTGGTGAGAGGTCCGGCGTCTGTGGTGAGAGGACACAGTGTGGTGAGAGGACACAGTGTGGTGAGAGGTCCGGTGTGTGGTGAGAGGGCCGGTATGTCTGTGAGAGGTCCCGTGTCGCTGCTGACCTCTGACCCCGGCGGACCGGCCGGACCCGGGACCCAGTGACCCCGCTGCGCTCGGTCGAACCTATACGACCGCCCCCGGCCGGCCTGGCCGCGCGCTCCGATCATCTGGGTCGTCAGGCGCGCCCGCCGGCCCCGCCGCGTGCATATGCTGGTCCGTTTGAACCGCCCCGTTATATAATACTAGTTACCTCTGCCAGTGCACACCGCCCTATAGTATAATGAAATGGGCTTCATGCGCGCGGCTGCGGGTGAAATCAGTTGATGGAGAGCTGCTCGCCCCCGCGGCATCTCAGCGGAAATGGGAAAAGATCTGTTCCTGCGGGCGCCGCCTGCGCTGCTAGTTATCCGCACTGGCATTTGACCGGGTGTCCTTCCTCGCCACCTCCCTCCGAGTCGGCATATCCGCTGTGACCAGACGGGGTATCCTATACGAGACAGTGACCTGAAACGCGGGGAGGGCAGCCGCCACAGGCCGGCCCAACCGAGATGGCTGGACGGCGGACGTCCAGGTCTTTCAGAGGTCTACTTATATGTATTTTCACTGGGCCGTATACTGTTCGAAATCGGGCCATCGGGACTGCGTGCACGGACCTGTGCC